ACATAGCCAGTGATTTTTAACTTAGTAGAGTGGCTATAACGTATTGAGAAGTGTTTGGTTTAATCACATTACGGTGTTGAAGTTTTTGTAATAACTTACAGTTTGGGATCAGCAGTTTTTCACATGTAAATTCCAGTGGGGCGAAAAGAAAGGTTTGGAAGTCACATGCTGAAAAACACAGCGATCATGAACAAAGAACATTTCTATTTCTGACCGAAGGGTGCTGATCCCAAGATGTAAATTGCTCTTCATGACCCTTCTTCAAGTGAAGAACCCTTTCGTAGAAGCGGCCAGAAGAGCCATACTGAACAGCTATGCTGTTTGACAATCGTTACATTAATGTAACGTGCACGTGTAGAGATAAGAGGGGAGGGTGGGGGGGGGAAGAGAAAGGAAAAAGGGTTGGAAGGCTGATTTTATTCATTCATCATCTACAGGAGCCTTGTGGATGACGTAACAATCACGTCATCCACGAAAGAATGTCATAAAGATCACCGTTTATGTTGGTTCGTGACAATAATTTCATTAACCCGACCCGCCTCGTGCCATCGGTTTTTTGTCTTAGACGTTTCGATTTCTGATTAGCTCATTTTGCTGACCTACGTGACTGACTTTTCGATAGAATATCGCCGTGCTCCCATTAAGCGTTACGTAGGAATGACGCTATTAAGTATTCGTTTGGCCTAATTAAAGGAACTCCTTGTAATAAAGATGAATAATGTAATTATATAAATCATTATCACCTTTTAAGCGATAATATTGTGGTCGAAAGCTACCAATCCGGAGCTGTTAAAAGCGTTCATCTCATCCAATTACTATCTCCTTCCAAATAACGTTTTAGATCTTTTATTGCCGTGTAATAGGCGAGTATAGTGAATGGCGCCGGATAAAACCAAGTGCTTTCATGGGAGGATTTTGTCTACATCATGACCACCGAGATTGGTTGATAAACCAACAACTTGTTAACTGTCAAAGTTAACATATTTGACATCGTGTAATGAGCCGTCATGTTTTAAGCACTACCAGGTTTTGCGATGATTTCTATTTCATTTCTTTTCTTTTCTTGTATTCGAGCTTCTTTCTCCTTCTTCTTTTTATTCAATTAGCTTCATACCTTTTTTCCTTCATTTTAATTGCATATGCGATGCTTTTTAATCATCACTTGTTCAAACTACAATACCTCTCTCATTTAACGTCTTGGAACAGACCTTAATAAACATAGAAAATAACATGGCAGCTTAATAATTCAAATGTCTTTAAATTTCCTAAGAAGTACATATCACATTGACACAATTTGCATAACATACAACATTCAATACATATGTGTACATGATACTTTAAGATAACTTGGAAATTTTCGTGAAATATATACGCAATTCTATTAGATATCACATACGAGTGTTTTAACACTAGTATGCAATTTAATTATCTCCTCGATCGAGGTGTTTTGTGAAATCTAAAGAGGGAGAAATCGTCTGACACCTTCGATCATAACAAGTCTAATATATTCAAACCATGGAAACGCAGAGATCAAAGTTAAACCCAATGCAAATTGGCAGGGAATACCCGATCAAGGACTGTTATAAAGTTTGTTCTTAGTCGTTCAACGTAAGGGTTTACGAAAATAGTCCAATCAAAGACTTGTTCGCGTGAAAAGCATATATTTCACTCGAGATAAGATTCTGTGCGTCAAACAGAGAGAACTTGTTTGCGTGGAAAGATTCTGGCCACGGATTTCACGACAGCGATTTTAAAATAAGGTGGAATTCGTTGTACGAACCGAACAAACCCGACTGGATCGAACGCGAAAAATCCTAAAAAGAGGCAATTTTCAATAACAAAGGTAAGTGCTACCCGGTAACGGCTAACTTTTGTTGAAGAAAAAAAAACTACAGTTATAATTTCATTTGTTTGCATTCAAACAGGTCAAGTTGAACGAAAACAATGGCAGAACGTGGAATAAGCGATGTTATGGACGTACTTAAACGCATCGAAGATCATCAAAATGTCGTCGGTGTAGTAATTGTCGACAAGGATGGCCAAGCGATACACAGCACTCTGGACACGATAGAAACAACTTATTACATCCAACACTGCAGCGCTTTAATAGCCATCGCTAAAAGTACAATAAGAGAGACCGACCCTACTGACGATATTCAGTTTTTCCGGATACGAACGAAGAAGTTCGAAATAATGTTGGCGCCCGAACACGAGTACTTACTCATCGTGATACAGAACACTCCGAAATCCGCAGGAAAATTTCCTTAAGTTGAAAAGAAAACCCGGTGCTCAACGTAAAAGAAATGACAATTTCATTTTGTATCTCTTAGCAAACTGCTTTAATTATCAAACCCAAGATAAACGAGCGATAAGTTCTGATTTTAGATTTTAAAGTTTTGCATAGGTTTCTGTTCCATGAACAAACGAAATTTTGGTCTTTACACTCTACTGTTTCAAGGACATTTTGTCACGGATGTTTTTCACGATTGATGTATACAACAGAGAAGAAGTTTGACTGCTTTTTCAATCTGTCGTTGCAGAAAAACAGCAGGTGTATTTGGTATTCTTTCATCTTTTTTCATTAATATTAATTACTTTCTTTGTTTGTACAAATATTACTTCTACAAAGCAAAACATATGTAAAAAAGAAATCAAGAGGAGAAAATCCACGTTAATCATTTTGCTCGTGGAATTCAACAAACCACACAACGTTTCTTACATTTATTAAAAAATCTATGAAACATTCTTATCAACTATGCACACTAATTAACCTTTTTTACTGTTTGTGGGAAAACTTGGTTTTTAAGATTTAAAATGAAGTTATTATAGAGGTTCATTTACTTGCAGTTCATCAAACCTCTGGCCATGACGAATGATCAATCGAAAGATTTTTCTGGATTCTCTTAATGGGAATCTAGATTAAAGTTCAATATGAGAGATAGGAAAACAGCATTATGACATAAAAACATTGTATTGAAGGACTGATATTAAGGAGTACAGGCTTAAATGAAGAAGTCCCAACGAACTTTGTCTGATTTCTTGTCCTGATCTTCTGATGGGCGCTCCACAAGCCTGGACGATTCTTCACTGGTACCTAGACAAGTCGGAAAATACACTGTCATACTACAAACTTTTGAAATATATGCCCCTATGAGATCAGAGTCTTAACGTTCTATTTCTGGGCTCCACCACGAAGCCTTGTTCTCATACAGTTCAGTTCTAGGAAAAAGTCTGTAAGCCGCACACGCGGTACTTGCCAACTTTTCTATGGAAAAAATACGCTTTACCTTGGAATTTCAAAGTCTTGTGAAACGTGTTTGATTACGAGATGCGGGGCAGTTGCACTTTAACATTCTACCCTCTTGCAAACGCTTTCTCAGTATTGAGCTTCCATCAACATCAAGAAGATGAATATTAGATTAATCCCCTGAAATGTTCTGCACAGGATGAATAGATCTCGTGGCGCAAACGCACCCGATGCTGGACTTCTAACTCTTCCCAAATCTTCCTGGCCAGAGATGCAGCTCAGTATTATTAAACTCACCATACTCTATCCCTACATACGAGGAATTTCCGCGTGAGGATCCGTTAACAAGCTCCAGTCGGTACCTATACAAAAACCGATCCTTCGTCTGTGTTCTAACTCTTTCTTCTCTTCCAGGTCCGCCCACCGAACCTAGAAAAAAAAAATCGACATCCAGAGACCCTGTCAAACGGATCCAACATCATTCAAAACCGCTAAATCTGAATTGTTGGACAGAGCTCCACATTGTTGCGCGTGGGAACCAAACGAATGAAAAGCACTGGATGCAACATTAGGAAAGGTCTGGAGGTCTGGAAACAACACCTAAAAAATTTAAGGGGTAACAAACCCAACAGAGGTACAGAGATACTTAATGAGCACGCTCGCATATCATAAACGATGTTGAACACGAGCACTGATGACAAACATCCTTTGTCCAACATCATGCGATAAATGCGAGAATAACACGAATACTTGATAACACGAAACATCACCCACCCTTTTCTTTCCAATGCGCATGTCTTCTTCACGTTCATCATACGGGTCATCGTCATCACTCAAATGCAATGGCGGCGACTCTTCTCGTTTCCTCTTGCTTTTCATGGGACGGATACCATCAAGTTTATCTGGAAAAGAAAAAAATCAAAAAAGGAGTCAGAAACAAAAAGGGAAAGGCAAGAAAGAAAAAAACTCTCGCGGCTTGGTTTGCGAACCGTTTACACGCTAGCATCAGTATCCACATTCTCCATAATTTCCTCAAGACACTTCGGTTGGATGGACAAGGAGAAATTGTTTCAAAATCAAAGCTAAACGAATGATTCAGCAGTATATCTGTGAAAATAAGATGCTGATACGACTCTTATGGCCGGTTATCTACATGAGGTCTGACACAAAACGTGGTTTTAAGCAAGCAGTGGCCCTCATGTATTCTCTAATACGGTTCTTTCCATTACAAAAATATTCCTCCACTACTAGCTTTCGGCCCTCTTGACACAATAATTGTTCAGAAAAAGCTGAGCTTAACTCAGGACAGTTAAAACACGGTTAGCTAAACAACCGGCCCTTAGGGTTTGACGAGGGTTAAGATATTTACAAGAAGATCACATCTGAAAGTCAGTTTAAATCTTACCAATTTCATTAGGAAACATATCCGTCAGAGTAAGAAAGTAAATGGTAAAAGGGTATTTCAAGTCAAAGCAACTCTTGTTATCAGATTAATGACAGTCTGGAAATGATCATGTCAACACGCTTTCGCAGGTCAAGGACGTAGCAAACTCGACCAACCATACGGAATTCACTTCATGTCTTGTAAATATTTTAAATTACAATCTCTTGGCTAAAAGAAAAACGTGCCTGAGTCTAAATTTGTAAGAGTGCTAAATTGAGTGCTAGTATATATTTCATGTTTCCAGTGGTTCAGCCGCTCAATCCTTATTTGGTTTCCTACCATAATGCTCCGTACCGTTTCCAATGACAGGAATATCTGCCACTGATAGAACTAACCGATTAAGAGTTCTTGCAAAGACAGAGCTGCTTGACAGTTCGGATCACTTGATTCAACCTTACCTTTCTATTCACTGAACGCATTTTAAAATTGGCCAGAAAAACTCGCTAACAGCATTGGTAAAATGACCCGGCAGCACTTTTATATCGCATAATTTTTTGTACTTTTAAGCTCTCTTGCTCAATTCCACCATGCTCTCTGAGTGCAACATAATTTGTGAATTCGTATAACACTGAAGAGCTTTTAAGAGCCCATAATTAAGGTTTCGTGCCCTGAGACTCCTTTGAGTCTTGGAGGACTGTATAGTTTCCAAGAACTTTGCACAATCGTTCAACACGCGTTGGAGAATGACAGAGGTTTGTATTTCATGCCCTTCTCCGAGAAGCGAAAAATTGATTTCATCGAAGCGAGGTGAAGCTATACCCTCCTCTTCAAGCGAAAATGAACGATGTTATTTTCCATTTTTAAACAATTACGCATTCTCTGTTCGAAACAATCTATTTGCCAGTCATCATTACAGTGACTCGGTGCACAGCCGTGGCCAACAGCTTAATGTAATCTTGGACTTTGATCTTTTTATCAGAACGAAAGTTTTTTCACTAACTGTAAATAATATTTTCTGCAAAACAACGTTCTATAACGTTAGTAATTAGCAAGCAGCTTTTTCTGTACATTTACAAGACGGCTACTTACTCAGTTTGTCCTCAGCCGGCTCCATTTCTTCCCATTTGCTGCGCGAAGGCACCTGTATCTCAGACTGTGAAATAATCAACAGACCCTGTGAAAATGAACTACAAAACAACCGCAAACCGCACAAAAGATATTTAACGTTATAACTTGTGGTATTGTGTCAGTCATTTAAGTCTGTCTCCTTTTAGTTCACTCTCACCTATTTTTCACTGTCTCTTCATTACATCGATGACCAGATGAACACAATTTTCACACAATAAACCACCGAGACTAGACTTGGAATGCCCAAGTGTACTTTTCCGATTTCAAACTACATGAAGCTTAGTGAAAGGCAATCTGCCTTTTCAATAGCTCTAACAAGAAGAAGAATTCCCCTCGGTCGTTTCAAAAATTAACTAAACCTTCCCTGATATTCTGCGCATTCTATGTTGCCCATGCAAGCCTGTACACCAAACCTTTAATTTACGTTTGTAAAGGTAAAAGTGTTTGAAATGTTAACGTGCGTATATACTGGGAAAACCGACAAACGAAACGTAGACTTGGAAAAACTTAGCTGCGTTCGTGCTCAATTTTTTCCCCATAATATACCTGTGTTTCCTTTCCCTAGAAGAGAATAACGAGGAACAGACGTGGCAACTGTTTCGCTTTTGAATAGGAATTAAATCAAACCAAAGATACGGCAAAATGTTTTGGGTTTTGGGGTTTTGTGTTAGACATTTCAAAGAGTTTTACATGATTAATGCCAACGCTGACTAACAACAGCAAAATAATATGCAAAATTTAAAAATTTCGTGTTAACAGACTTTTGTGCAAATATTACACTTCAGACCAGTTTTCAGAAGTGTGTAACGAACTACGGTGTCGTGCTCTCACCCATAACAGTTGCCCTCATCTATTTCGACCATATTTTGTTGTAATTTGGATCTAAAGTACATGTTCTTTGTTGATTAAAGTTAAAAATATTTCAGTTGGCAATTTTGCTACCCCAAGATTGAATATTTTGTTTTTTTGGTGTTTTTATTATGAGATATTGTTGATATTCTTTTACCGTAAGGTTTTCTTTACATGATAAATTAATTATCTAAATTGTATAAATTTCATTTTACATGGCAAAAACGGGCGTAACAACCTCTCAACAGGTCTCCTTCACTTCGGAGTAATTTTTTTCATTTTAAGGCTGGTTTCGTTTGGTTTTAAGAATCAGACCGTGCTGGGTACATCAGACTTATCGTTTAATTTATGTTCGTTTTATTTCATACAAACATCTTCTTATTACTTATTTTAAGGCGTGGAGATGAGTTTCCAGTAAGGCGGGAAGGGGGGGGGGGAGGGTGATACACTTGTTTCTTTTGGCATCGGGGGATATGTGAAACTATATTACTACATGAGCCAACGCTTTTCGTTGATAAAGAGGAGAGATTACTTACACTAAGACACCCCATTTCATCGGCAAAGGCCGCGTATTTTATTCATTCATGAGAAAGCTACTTACGATCATCCAACTGTGACTCTGTGTCCAATGATGTTTTAGTTTCTGTTGTAATAGAGACATTATTTTGTTAGTTCTTACCTCTTCTTCCTCCATTGGTTCCTGCTGTTTTTCCATTTCTTCTGAACTGGCCGCCACAGCTGATTCATCTGCTGCCTCCATCTCAACCTGTAAGCAAATGAAGTTTCAAAAACACAGCTGCTTTAACCCTAAAACCCCTAAGGATGACCAGCATCTAATTTCTCCTCACAATATCACCCCTGAACCACACATTAAGGTTATGAGAATAAAGGAAATGATCAGCAACTAAAGAAGCTCTTAATTGTTAAACAAATTATCCTGTTCGGTACCAGACCTTACGAAATATACGGAGAATAGTATGGAAAATTACCATACAAATGTAATTGGTTAAGGATTCTGCATCATGAAAAATTAAGCTTAAATTTTTCTAGTTCGTCATTTATAATCCAGGTCAATCTCCTCCATTCTTGACCATCCTCGCTTCTTTCCGATTTGTTGTTTTTCTCTTTTCAAGTTCTGTCTTGCCGCACTAATATTTTTTGGTAGTCTAGGCAAAAGTCGGGGAAAGGAGGTCAAAAATGTGGTGAAGGCTTACGCTAAAAATTTGTTTTAAAAGAATTCGACACTTTAAAGGCACGAGTTCAAGATCCTTTATAACTCTTAAAACTCTTCCCAGTCCACCATCGTTTATAAAAACAATAAATATCAGCAAACTACAGTGTTTCATGACGATGTAGGTAACAGATGCAATGTAGGGATACAGACCTCGGTGATGACAGCATCTTGCAACAGTGATCGTACATCAAGTCTCAGATGATGGACCGGTGTCTCTTCCCAAGCGGATACCATCTGACAATCAGCAAAATGAAGGGTCAGTTACTTGACGAGCTTAAGCGAAATACTTGATTCCTAAAGAGATAAACTGCAATAGCGGAGTCCCATAATTGCGTCATCATTCGATCACCCAGTTTGTTTCAGGAACGTATTTTTAGGAATCACTTTGACAAATTACGGATGCAATCAGCCATTTTTCACGAGAAGCATAAACACAACTACGCATGACCACAGTGCCATTCGCAACAAAACATCGTTGGATGGTAGTACAGATGAGCGAGACACATTCTGATTTGTAGGCAAGTTATGAATGGGCCCTCCACTTTCGATTTTGTTTTCATGGCACTCATTGGGAATGCGTCCTCAATAGTACCTTATTGATGTCCTCAAACGTCCGATTGTGACTGTTTCGCTTAGCGCACGCATGTGCATCAGCCATTAACTCAGCAACATAAACCTGTTCACAATAAACAGAAGAACAAAAGTGAAGACTGGTAACGAACGTATTTAAACGGACCACAAAATGAGATGATAAGGACTCCATCTCAGTTGGACAGTTTGGTTTTGGTTATTAACCCTTTGACCCCAAAGAGAGACGAACATCTAATTTCTCCTTACAATATCACTCCTTAATCACACTCTAAGGTCACGAGAATAGAGAAAATGATCACCAAGTAAAGAAGCTCGTTATTGTTAAACTAATTCTCCTTGTCAGCACCTTACAAAATGTATGAAGAACAGTATGGAGAATATGTAAACTGATGGTTACACAAATTCTCCTTGTCAGCACCTTAAGAAGTGTACGAAGAACAGTATGAAGAATATGTAAACTGGTGGTTAAACAAATTCTCCTTGTCAGCACCTTACAAAATGTATGAAGAACAGTAAGGAGAATATGCATACTGATGTTAGGTTGTAAAGGTGCTAAGGATGTTCGTTATGAAGTGTGTTTCTTAAGCATATTGGTAGCAGGGATGTTGCATCGTGTTCTGTGATAATTTCACCGTGTCCTTCTCCATTGAGGGATAGGTTGTTCATAACAACTTAAGATAGGGCAAGGTTATTGTAAACGTTTCACTTAGTATTATGGCTTTGCAGAAAGTTCTCCAATATGATTGACTTACCTCGAAACCTTTTTGTTTTGCGTGGCTCCAGTATTTCTCAAAATGTTCAACCTTTTTATTTGCAAAAGAATGATATTGTTACTACTAAATAATCGAAAAGTGGACATCGAGAAAATGATAATAATGGTAATGTTGAAGAAAAGCGAGAGTGGCCCCTACCCCTACCCCAACCACCTCAAAAGGTTCCCGTTGTTTAACCGTTATTCCCAGAGAGTGAATAGCATGTGATTTGTCCCTGAGTCAAACATTAGGGACACGAGGATAATGGAAATGACAGCCAACTTAAGATACACTTGATCGTTAAACCAATTCTTCTAGTCAGTACTATAGGAAATATATTAAGAACGGCTTGGAAAAAATACATACTAATGAAAGAGTGTAAGTTTCCCGCGGCTCTCACTTCGCTCGCTCTCTGGACAAAGAATTGTAGTGAAAATGAAAGGTCTATGAACAGACTGGAGGCCACTAAGAATAAAATAAAATTTCCTCCTTTATCCCACCACCCCCCTACCCCCTAGATATATGAACAGAAGACAAAGGAACAACTTCGGGAACAGACCAAACCCAGTTAGGGAGGCAGGAGATAAAGCGCCTTATCCACTTTAAAAGCATAAATTAATTGTCCAACAGATCAGAATGAAGTGAACGAGTAAGTGAATTTCAGGTCCATACCTAAATGTTAAAGTATGACTGACGTCATACCATTAGGTAAAATCAGCAAGGGAATGATTTACGTATGCTTTAATTGGAAATAACTATACCCTGATGTAAGGGCCGGCTACGCATGGCAAAAATAAATACAACACAACAACTTGTGTGCGTCAAGATGCCTTGTATTCTTACAAACAACGACCATAACGGTTTATATACGAGGATCTACCCCGCGATTCGAAGTTATTGCTTCTTACGGGATAGCTTTAAAATCCTTCGCTCAGAGCTTAACTTGGCAAAAACTACAAGCAACGCTCGTGGCGTAGGAAACTGCACCCTAGGTATATTGTCAGCGGCGCTATAAAATGTAAGTAAATGCAACAAATCATACACCTGACCTTGTCATGAATAGCGTCGACTATCACCACAGGAAAGAATCCATCTTCCAGTGTCTTAGTAAATGATTTAAACAGACTAGCCCTGTAAGCTTCCTCCATCTCTTCTTCAAACACATATTCTGTTACCTACAGAGGAAATAAGATTAAAAGATCCTCATGTAGATTCTTGTAAACTGTTGCTGTTTAAGCAGACAATGGGCCCACGTTCGAAAGGTTTGAACAGAAGCCAGGAAAACTGGGTCGAGTATGTCAAATCAAGGCTGAGTACATCAAATCGAGGCGATGTGATTGACTTCCCTGGTAAAAAAAATGCGACAAGACAAATCTCGTCCTTTACAGGCACATTTAAAAAGTCCCAAGGACCAACTAACAAAACATTTCTGGCTAATTGCAAAGAAGACTAATCGAAAAGACCAGACGGAAACGTAAATACGTAAAACCACGCGAGAAACGTATGCATTCCTCATTATATGCTAGGAATTTCACCAGTAAGTCTTAATGTCAAGTTCTCGACAAGGGTATTCTACTTTCTGTAACTTTTGCGCACAAGTATCAAATAAGGGCTGTTCATCATGGTATTTTAATAAATTCAGAGAAATTGCATATGCGTACAAGTTATTGATATGCTTGTAAGTGTTAAACATATGGATTGGGAACATTTCACAGACATAAACTCTAGACAGACAGAGTATTTTAGGCATTCAGCTGTTCGAATCTTACAGAAGTTGGACACTGCAGATTGCTTTCGTCTCCAGGCTGTTTATAAAACATAATTGAATAAATCAAGGTGATTTCTCCACAGCTACGAAAATGTTCACCAAAGTCAACAAAACTGAACAAACCATTGAAATCGCATGTAGTAGTCAATTGTAAAGCATGATTGCCTGGGAAGGTCAGTCAAAACACGACAACCTTCAGTTTATACAATATTTAAACAACCTGAGAAGAATTCGTTCTCTTTTGTGAACTGATGAGGACTTCCTTTCAGGCAGTGGTCTGCTCAGTTATTTTCACCAATAAGAGTCCTATTCAGAACTACTCTCAACCAGACGATTACCTCACATAATCGACCATTACTCTCAGGTTCGATCCATTAACTGCACTTCAAACAATTAGCAATTTTCAATTGAGTGTCGAAAGCAATTCGGAACTACATTGTTTTCACTTTAATTTGCTCCGTGATTGGTCCAGAAAACTCGCGCCACCCTCTCAACCAATCAGATGCAACACTTCCATCAGTCACGACCTGTTCGCCCGCATTTTCGCGCGCTTTAGGCGGATTGCTTGCTTTTAGTTTCCTTCAGATTGGCCGTTGTAATTACTTTGGTTTTTGTTTTACGACACTTCATCAAAGAGCGCTTTAAAGCAATGATTGTGATACTAAAATCTGATTATTCTCTGTGAAAAGCACACAAAACTAAAACTTGCCTTCTTCTTAACTTTCTTTCCGGTCTCCGGGTCTTCTTCTACTTTTTCCACTTCCATCAAAAAGTAATCATCCAAGGCCAGGATTCTTGGTGCGTGTGCTCCGTTGTTCACCTCCTTGTCCTGAAAGAGACAAAAAGGATAGTAATGGTACAATATTCAATCAATTCACATAAGGCTTACGACATTACTGATTCTAACAGTAAGCGGGTCTCGTGTCTTATACGCACCTAATAATGGCCAAGGTCACCACAGAGTCTCTGTGACTCGGTGGTAGAGCATCCGAACGCGGAATCCGAAGGTCTACGGTTCGAATCCTATAGGGAACTATTTTTGTTTGTTCCACCTGCGTACTAAGACGAAAAACAAACCCTTCTGCAAGAGCATTTTGTTTTAATTACTCAACAAAAGGAGCGAGTAAAAGAAACGATACTTGTTTGTGAGTGGCATACACTCGCACCGTTCATAGCAGAGATATGCTGACAAGATAACTTGATTTTATCAACTAACTCAAGTAATTAAATTGGCCACCGTAAACAGTTTCGAAAGCTGACGTTTTCAGCGTTAGCCCTTCGTTGGAGCGAACGGTGGCATACTTTAATCGAAATACTCACCTTGATAAGCCTGGCTACATGCGTCTTTCCACTCCCTGGGGGTCCCCTAAGAATAATAACAATCTGCAAGATAGAAATTTATTAGATCAACATCAAACCTCTCATTTTGCTTTTCATGTTTATTATTGGTTTAACACATACGAGTCACATGGTTTTACTGGTCCACGACACTTCCGATTCCAACAAGATGTATATCAGCGAGAAGGCAAAATTTCTAGTCAGACCGTGAAAGCTAGCTTTCTTGCATACACACTAACGTGCTTATAGGCATCAACACCTGTTGGTCTACATGTTATGCGTATACCTTGGTTCACATATATCTGAGTGACACTGCATTTATTTTACTGAAAGACGTTTGAAGTAAATGTTACGATGGAGAAGAAAACTTTGAACTACTACATGATTGAGTTTCGTTGTTCAGCCTTACCCTGTCTGGTCTGGAGTCACGCCCTGGAGGGTCCAAGATGCTCTCAACTGGAACAGTCTCCGGTTTCTTCTCCATCCGTGGTGCCTCAGTCGGATGTCTACCGTCATTAGGGCGTGGTGGGTAGGCAGCAGGGTCATGTAGGGAATGGTCCTCTGAGTATCGAGGTCGGTCTCTGTAGTGATCATCCATTGGAGGCAATCTGTGTGGAGGAGGTCGCTCATCATAAAACCTATTGGAATCAGACGTTAAGTCAATGGTTAATGCTTTAACTGCTAGGCATGACCAAAAAGTTATTTTTGCTTACATTATCAACACATTGCCTGGCAGGCGGGTCATAAGAAGAAAGAATATTATCAACTCAAGGTTACTGTTTGATTGAATAACAACAAAAATAAAAAATTGACAACAAAAGCAAAATGCAGTGTGGGCCACCGGCCTAAGTTACGAGCAGACGTCACTATTACCAATCGTACGCTTTAAGCAATCAATGAAATCCCATTTGAAATCATAACGTGTGTCAAGAAAAAGTCACCTATCATCTGGTCCTCGTCTGCCATCTCTTTCCCACTCTCTGGGGCGATCAGGAGGAAAGCGATCTGGAAGTTCTCTGTGAGGTGAAGGTGACCTTCTCCACCTATCAACTGGGTGGGGTAGGTCTCTAAACCTCTCTTCTTCAGGAGGTCTTCTCCCTGAAAACCAAAAGAGAAACAATAAAATGTATTTAGATTGTTTCCCCAGAGAAACTGTGACCCACATTGTAAATGATCAGAATCTAGTAAAAAAAAAAATGTTTAGTTGTTGTAAACATACAGGTGACAGTAATTCAGAATTTAATTGATATTTCTTCTGTGATCAATAACCAAACTAAAAACAATCTTAACATGGTGATAAATCAGGCCAGGTCATCTACAAGTATTTTATTGACCTCTCATTGGTTCCTTGTCTATTTATCTTATCTATTTCCCTTTGCCCTGATTGGTTGTTGTGATAACTTTGCCTTTAGTCCTATGAAACTCAAATGAAACTCAGAATTTGAGAGGTATACAAAATTGAAAACCCAAGTAAGTTCACTCTTGAGGTAGCATGTCTCCTGATGGCTGGAAATGCACCTGTCAACTCTATTTCGTACTGCCAACACTCTCATACACCCTTATCCCATCTTATTATGGTTGCCTCGGCTACACAAATGATTGAAAACTCAGTGTCAAAACTGTCTTCAGCCTTTGCCTTTGTAAGCCTCTGATAAACTCACAGGGAGTTAAAAGCCAAATCAGGGTGTATTTGAAACCTTAGTACTTTTCAAGGGAACCAGCATGTCATGGAGGACACAGGAAAAATTAGCCATAAATATCTAACAAATCAAGATTTTTCCATCCTCAAAACACCACTCTGGACAAAAACATTATGACAACATGATCTGAAATAATGCTCATACAATGAAACTTATCAGCCAATTAAACAAACAAGATTCTGGAGTCATATAATGTAATGTTCTTATTGAGAACTACTTTTATTTTCCAAAGAGGGAATTGAAAAGTGTAACCAAATAATTTACAGAAAAATACAACTTAATGATGCAGGTACACATGAGTCTTCCATATACATGGACAAACTGACATCAGCTAGAGAAGTGGGATAGCAGAAACATAAATAGTATGTTGATTTAAGAGTAGGTGAGGTAACATGTTTATTACAATTACTCACGAAACAGACTCATCAACAATAATATCACTCAAAAGGGTAACAAATACTTACAGTCTCTTCTCTCCCTATCCCATGGTGGTGGTACAGGGCGATCAAAACGATCAAACTCCTCAGGAGGTGGAGGCCTGCCTCTAAACTCATCACCATGTGGAGATTGTCTCCTTCTGAAGTGATCAACTAGTGGCCGAGGAGGTGGAGACATGCGTCTTCTTCTCTCATCTTCATCAAATGGGTGTCTCCCTCTATGCCCATCTCTGCCCCTCGGTGGACTCTCTGGTGGACCATGTTCTCTTGAGGACCATCCAAAGTCATCCCTTTCTCCTGGAGGAAAGGGAGGCCATCTCTCTCTTTCATCCCTCAGAGGTGGTGGCCAACGATCTCGGCCACCTCTTGGTGGAAATGGAAAATCTCTTTCATCTCTAGGAAAAGGACGTCTATCTCTTTCCTCTCTAGCATGAGGTGGCCATTCCCTATCATCCCTAGGGAAAGGAGGATGATCCCACTCATCTCTAGGGAAAGGAGGTCGATCCCTGTCATCTCTAGGAAAAGGGGGCCTGTCCCACTCATCTATAGGGAAAGGAGGACGGTCCCAATGATCTCGTGGGAAAGGTGGTCTGTCCCAATCACATCCAGGGGAGGGAGGGCGGGGTCGCTCATCTCTTAGATACGGTGGTTTGTCTCTCCCTTCCATTTCTGGTGGTACTTTATCAGTGGGCTCTCTTGGTATCTGATGTCCCTCCTTGTCTTGTTCATCTTGTTTTGAGAAGGCATCAATGGCACCAATGTCACGTGGTCTATGATCAGGCTCAGTTCCTAACACAGGGGGTCCTCCTTCCTTTACATCCCTAAAGGGTGGCCTCTGATCTTCCACACCACTTACTAAAGGTGGTTGCTCTTCCCAGTTGCGTCTTTCTGATGGAGACCTTCTGCCGTACTGTTCTTGAGGATGTTCTTGAAGATCCACTGGAAAGGGAGGTCTATCTCTTGGGAAGGGGATTTTTCTATCCCAGTCATCCCTTGGAAAAGGAGGTCTTCCACCTGGCTGATCTGGCCAAGGTCCTGTATCACGATTGCCTGGTGGGAAAGGAGGTGGCCTATCTCTATCATGCCTAAAAGGTCCAAAGTCCCTTTCACTTCTTGGTGAAGGTGGTCTTGGTCTACTGTCATACCTATTTCCTGGTGGTCTCCAGTCTCTTCTGTCCAAGTCTTTATCATGATACTCCCCCTCTGTTGGAGGTGGTGGCCTCCCATCTCTGTTTGTGGGAGGATGCTCTCTATCCCACCCCAAAAACCCATCACCCAGAGGTGGTGGGGGCCTATCTGAATCTTGATGGGGTTTCTCTTTATCCCAAGGAAGGGCATCCCTTGGGTGTCTCTCCCCAAAGTGTTGTGGTCTATCCCAATCATCTCTTTGACCCCAGCCATGCTCATGATATTCAGACTGCTGAAAATGTTCTGTTTCATTGTGTTTTGATTCAGTAGGAACAGACTGTTCTCCTTCCACTGAAACCTGTAGCTGTTCTTCTCCTCGGTGTCGATCACTTTCAACATTCATGTAATCACCTTGTGATTGCTATAAAGAAACAGGATTGTATAAACTACAGCTGCCTACCATAAAAACTAGATAGCTGAAATAACATCCACTTGTGCACACTAAATAATAAAAAAAATTCCTAAAATAATAAAAAAATTCCTAAAAATGATTTCACCTAGTGCCCTAAATGATGAAAAATATATCAAACTTCTTTAAGATTGGTTGTCTACCAATAGACATTTTGTGTGCTCAATAACATTTACAGCATTAAGGCTGAGATGCCTGAAAGGCATAGCCCTGAACACACATCAGTTTTGTGGTTGAGGAATATGAGTGAAGACTGCCCTTAGTAATTTGCCTTCACATTCTGTGTCAATGCAAGAACTTATGTGATGGTTTTGTACAGTAATTCATGATTATTTGTGCTAAAACAAAAGAGGCTACATATACATGTTCACTTACATGATAATTGCTGCTTTGATAATTATCTATGCTTTTGCTATCTCCATCTCCTACAAAAAAGGCCAAAATTTAGAACCATCTCACTCACAGATAAGGTAAAAGTAAAGTCTGTGCTCGGGTCTATTGGCCCACCCACCCAGCCGGAGCTTCACCCAGTTGCCATGTAGCATGAAGCAACAAGGAGTACTACTACTCCCCACACCCTGGATGGAATGCTAGTCCATCGAAAAGTTACCCCCAGCATTTCATCAAGCTTCCTAAACAATTCCCCAAGACCCATTTCTACTCCTGGGCAGAGAGAGGCATGGTGAGAGTAAAGTGTCTTACCCAAAATACAACAAAGCGACCCAGCCTGGTCTTGAACCCAGACCTCTCAATCTGGAGTCCAGTGCACTGACCATTAAGCCACTGCATTTCCCACCCTCATTTACAGGAGACTAATATTTTTCTTAAACCTTTGACTCCCATGAGTGACCAAGATAAAATTTCTCCTCACAATGTCCTTACAATATCAAGCACACAAGTGATGAGAATTAAGAAAAATATCACTAAAGGGATAACTTATTGCTCCAATACCTAATTCTCCAAACTACTATCATGCAAATTGTATGGCAGAAAGTAAGGAGAATAAATAATGGAATTTGGGAGTGAAAAAAGGTTAATTCCATGCTCATAAAGAACACTTGACATGTTTGTTGGATTTCATAACCTACACAGAGGATATGGCATAGTTTGCCAACAAGTGCTCTGAAGCTCAAATGCTACTATGATTATCAAACAAGTGAGGCTCGGAAAAAGTTTGGTGAAGGGGTTTTGACCATAAAATAACATTGTTGTCATGGCAACCTTCCTCTTTTCCAATGTGAACTGTAACTCAAGAGCTGCACATCCCCAACTTTTAAATATGAAAGACTGTCAAAATAGGTCAAATGACACATTACCAAATGAGCCAACTGCCTATGACAACAACATGTATTTAACCTTAAAACATGGTTGCTGATCTTCTGATGCACCTCACCTAACTGAAAATTGTACTATGGCATTTAATTGCATAATCTGAACAGACTAAGGTTTCAGTCCTCTTTGTCCCAAATTTGTGAAAATCTTTTGCATTTTTCTTTATTAATCCAAGGCCGATCAATTTTTCTCTTAAAGTATGAAAATTGATATCAACCCACTGACCTTCTTCAGTTTTATCTGAAGTTTGCACTGGCACTATCGAAAATTCACCATCTCCAATACCAGGAATTTGATCTCCTTGACCAGTTAATGATACAATACCCTTGCTTTGTGACTCAGACTCATCCGGAAAATTACCTGCATGAAAAGGTCAATGAGTATTTAATGAGTGTACAAAACAAAACAAAACAATCCTGTAATCTGAACTCTTACTGTTTCTGTGGCTGTTCACTCCAGTTATAAAAACAGTCACAACTAAAGCCCCAATTTAAAACATAGGGGAATTGTTTTTTTGGTTTATTTTTCATCATGGCTTTACAAGTTTAATACTAAGGTATCAGTGGACAATACAGTATACCTTGGTACTGTGATTCCTCTGCATGTTGTTCATTTGAAGAATATTCACTGTGATCAAATATGCAGCTATCTTCCTCACATCTAAATGAAACAGGCACATTTACAAACATGTGTCAATCATGCTAAATGTTTTTTTTTTCTCTTCACACACACCTTGGGTAGTTTTAAAAGCTACTTAATTCTTTTTTACCTTTTTTCTTGTTTTTCTGCTCTTTTCTATGACAATTTTTTTGTAGTTAGGTTTATCTAGCTCAGTCTTCACAATTTGAATCCCTGCATTAATAAGAATTTAGTAAGCAGTCGTCTCCTTTCAGTGAGCCATTGGAGGCCATCCTCTAGCAACTGTATCTGAGAATTAATTCCGCTATTAAAGGATGGGGTGTCTCCTGCATTTCATGGGTGTTACCTTATGAAAAACATCTATGATTCTCCTCAGACATTATCTGAAAAACTTTCAAATAAAAAAAGACATCTCTTGACCAGCCATTATTTCAAGCCTTGAAAACTAAGGTCATATGTTAGGCTCTTGCTGTAGTCTATTAAAAATGATGAGATGTAATGGCAGGCATACCTCACACCATATTTGCAAGGAGGATGTTGAAATTTGCAACTATTCCCAAAACGGCAATGAGGGAAGAACCTGCATGGTTGCTTTTTTCCAGTAGACTTTAAATTTCTTACAGTGCTACCTGAAACAAAAAAATTTTGATAAAGGAAAAATTAGTATATCACTGTTGACAATGAAATATCAAATCAAGTTTAAGTCAAAATTTAATGTAATTCTGGCTAGAAAGTGCAGCTTCTCCAAAGATAGTTTAACGTTGAGCCTATGATGGGAGCAGTTTTTCTTATCTTCTTATTCTTCCCTTATGAGCTGCTAATGCACATGTTACATTGGTTTTTGCAATGGTAGTGTACAAGCTGTTGATCATCATCCAGTTTCCATGTAGATTCAATGTGACAGTTTCTAGAGATATATGCAGCTGTAGTAGTTCCTCCTTGTGGTACTAGGTGTTAAACCCCTCCTCCCTGAGATATGAGGGGGGGGGAGGCCTTTTACCCCTCCCAAGCACATGTAACTTTTGATCACCACTACCAAAGCTCATCAGTGTTTGAATTATGGAAGAGAAATTGCCTCACCTTTAGTATGATCTTTAGCACTTGATTTATCATTTTCCTGGCCTGCAAGACTGTATTGTAACCATGGAACATTTGTTGCTTTTTCAGCTTGGCTACTGGCTATAACAGAACTTGATGATGTTGTGGTGGTTGATTCTGACTTTCCCATAGCACTGGGTGCAGTTGATGTCTGCTTCAGTTGTTTCTCCAGTTTCTCAAGTTGCTGAAGCTGTTCTTGCTGTTTGCGTAAAAACTCCAGCTCCTTCAGAGGATCTAGGTTACCAGGACTTAAACCAAGTGTCCCAGAAGGTGTATTTCTGTTTGGGCAAAGACATTCCTCTAATCAGTTAGGTTTGAGGTCTGTACTATAAATTTAGACTAATTATTTTTTCACTTTGATTTAAGACCCTGGTGCCAAGGCCATAAATCTAAGCAGTGGTACTAGGATCATATTGCAACAACTTCTATAAGAGTGGAAAAAAGAGATCTTCAGTCATGCACATGTATGATTAATTGAGAAGATCTTGATGAAAGTTACCCCACAATTTTAAAGGCCACTCTAATAGAGTTACAAAATTCTTGAATTTCTTTAAGTAACTTTTGGTTTTGTGGGAAAAATGGTTCAGAACACCATTTCACAAGTTTGCACTTCATTTTCAAAAAAGGCAACATAAAAACATCCACTTTCCCAGATTTTTCTTTGCAAAACATTTTAAAAAAATTGTCTTGAAGGCATAAAAAAACACCATTATCAGGCTTGGACAGATCCTTGTATAAAAAAACCCTGGCAAAATTTTACAAAAAGTCTTGCCTTATACAGTTTCTTCTCACAAAAAACAAACAATCTCCATCTCCATTGGGTAAATCTCCTTGAAACAGTAGATCTGCTTAAAAAATGCAGAGTGTAGAGCACAACATTACCTCTCTGTTTTATCCCACTTAGATGCTGTTTTTGTAGAAGTTCCACCTACAATTCAATAACAGATTCAATTCAAGATTCATATATTATTGCTGTTTACATACTGTAAACTATGAGATTTTGGTCTGGGCCATTCTTAGGAGTTCGTGAATACTTAGTATGGCAGACTAGTAGAAAAACAGAATAACGTTATGATCTTCAAATGTCATTTGAACAAAATTATGCAAATGAAAACAATGCTACAAGCATACATGCTGTGAACAAGGAATCCCCTGTACAAATTTTACATTCTACTGCTTTACCACTCTATGCTGCCAATTCATTTACAAGGAGCTAAAATTGAGGAATCATGGGAGATGCAGTGGTAGAAGGTCTGGGTACAAGATCTGGCTGCGTTTTTGTGCTATATCTTTAGGCAAAACAATTTACTCTTAAAGTGCCTATCTCCACCCAAGAGTATAAATGGGTAATAATGCATTTGAAAAGAAATTACACACTTCTGATTGGCTGAAGGTAATTGAGTATTTTCAATTGAGTTGATAACATAAATTGGCCACCGTAAAGAGTTTAAAAGCTGATGTTTTGAGCATTGCTCTTCATCAAAGGTTTGCTCTATCAGAGGACCAAAGCTCGAAACGTCTATCCCAGCTTTTAAACTCTTTATGGTGGCAATTTATGTTATCAACTCAGTTGATAATACTAAATTACCCTCTTATACTCTCCCACAGATGCACCACCACAGTTTCTTTAGAAACTTGCCCCCTTTTCCAGAGTAATAAGTGCTACAAATTGCACTTGCCATACAGGCTCTTGCAATGTTTTTGTCTTTAAAAAATTTACTTGTGCTCATTAACACCAAATTTCACTCCAATTCACGTCATCAGGGAAGTCTGATGAAATACTTTGTGTATGAGTGAGGGGGGGGGGGAATGCAGGCAGGCAGGCAGGGAATAACCTTGTGATGAACTAGCATTCCACCAGGGGGGAGTGGTTATACTCCTAGTTGCCTCATGCTCTAGAAACTGGAATAAGCTCTGGCTGGGCGGACCACTTGGCCTGAGTGCAGACTTTACCCTTTACTTTTAAAATTGCAAAATATTTGTCATTAGAAGATAATGTAGGACATTTTGTGAAATATTATACAACAGATTATACCACTTAACAGACCCATTGTCTTTGTTCAGGTAAAAAACAACTGTCCAACTGTCATGATCAAATTTTGCAGGGGCATAGTAAACATCTCAAAGCTTACTTACCAAAAGTTACTTTCCCTTTCAGTTGCCTTCACCCTTTTACTCCCTAGATATCGTTTATTTAGAAATTTGCCTTACTGTCTACCATATTATTCTTATGATGCTACTGCCGAGAATTTGGTTTTGGATCAACTACTAAATACCCTCATTGATAAATTTCTTCATCTTCATCTCTTGTCTGATTGATATTGCATTAACATTGTAAGGAGAAATTCTGTCTTGGTCATTCATAGGAGTCAAAGGGTTAAGGCATGGAAATTTTTTTTGTTTTTTTTACCTGGGGTAATTTGGCCCACAGTATTTCCTGGAGCAGCAGGCAATTTAGCCTGAAGCCATTTTGGTATCTGAGGTTTTGTCTGGTGAGCCTCTCCTTGGGTACCAACAGGGAAAGGTTTGCTATTACCAAGCCAGTTTGGCACTGGCTTCCCTTGAGAGACAGTTTCAGCTTGATCACTTTTCAAAGACCCTTCCTGTAACCATTTTGGAATCTGTTTCTTTTGAGCCTCCTTGGTTTGGAGAGCTTTCTTTGCTGCATCTTGTTTCACATCCCATTCAGTTTTTTCAAGTTTTTCTTTCAACCATCTGGGCATACCATCATCACCTTGATGTTGTTGCTGATTTGTAGAACTCTGCTGAGATTGTAGCCATTTGGGAACATGTTTACTTTCAGCTGTAGCAGATTTCTGTGACAATCTTGAACTTTGCTCTGATTCACTTGTTCCAGCTGAGGCTTTAGAAAACTGCATCCACTTTGGGAGATGACTGTTCTCTGATGTTAATTCATTTTTATGTTGAATTTTACTGTCATTTTGAGGCCTAATAGGCTGAATGTCCATTAAACCAGGGATTTTTGGCACTGATGAACCTTGATTATAAATCTGAGAACTCTGCCTGTTTCTATTGTTCTGATTTTGTGTCCAGTTCAATGTTTTAGTTTGATCATATTGTGACTGCCATCTTTGTTGCTGCTGTTGTGATTGTTGCTGGTTAAGAAAATTTGGATTTTGTTGCTGGTTATACTGGCTTGGGGTATTTTGTGAAGTATTACCTTGTGGCCATTGAACTTGCACAGGCTGATGCTGTTTGTGAACAAATTGTTGTTGCTGATTGAAGGGAGTTTGCTGAGTATACAACTGTTGTTGTTGTTGTTGATTTTGTTGCTGTTGTTGTTGATGCTGTGGCTGTTGATGCTGTGGCTGTTGATGCTGTGGCTGTTGATGCTGTGGCTGTTGTTGATGCTGTGGCTGTTGTTGATGTTGTGGCTGTTGTTGATGTTGTGGTTGTTGTTGATATTGTTGATATTGCTGCTGCTGTACGACTGTGCCCACTTGAGCTGGAGTAGACACACTTCCTACGGCTGCCTGATTTTGAATTGGCTGAGGCTGCTTGTCTCCTCCTTTTATCTGCATTAAGGTTTGATTATGCTGTGTCCACTGATTCATCTGCTGTTGCCACTCTTGGTACTGCTTCTGATCAGGATGGTTCTGATGCTGAGCCTGCCACTGGGCATACTGCCGCTGCCATTCCGCGTACTTCTCCTGATACTTCTTCTGGGCTTCGGTGATCTGCTGTTCAACTTTTGATAGAGAATTAGGTGCTGGCTCAGGTGGTAAAGGAGGAGGAGCAGCGGAAGAGGAATCAATCTGCTCCGGCGGTAATGGCGGTGGTCTCTCCTCACTCGCGATCGGCGCGTTTTTTTGTGCTGTCGCCTGATCGTGGCCTTGACTGACTTGAACAGTTGCGGTGAAAACATTTTGACCCGGAGCATTAGCTGCCACAAACTGCTGTGCGCCAGCGACTTGAGTATATCCCTGTACAGGATACTGACCTACTGAAGCAGCTGTTTGAGGAGTCTGATTAGGGACAGCTCCGTATTGTGCATACTGTTGTGGCGCTTGAAAAACTTGCGCTTGAGCAGAAGGTTGTTGAACGTAGTAATACGGTTGTTGTTGAGTGTACTGTACTTGGTACTGGTACTGCTGAGGTTGATGTAATGGTGCTGGTGGATACACGTAGGGATTCATTTTTCAATCGCTTTTCCAGAAAAAAACCCGGAAAGATTTTTAACTTAAGTCATTTTCATTTCCGTCTCATCAATATGGCTGCCATGCGGCAACTTTTCTTCATTCAAATAGGCAACCTGGCCTTCCTGCTCGCATCCAGACCTATTATAGATTCAAGATGGCGGATATTCGAGAGAGACTCGAAAGACGAAACGAAGAGCGATTGGCAGCGATTGAGAAGCGTAAAGCTGATAAAGAAAGCAAAGAACAACCATCAGAAAATGTAGAGTACATCACTTCTACTTTCTCTAAAGAAAAGAGTGATATTGAGGAGCAGCTAGGCAAAAGGGCTACTACAATCGAAGCCGGGAATAAACTAAAGGCGGGTGAATTCTTTGATATGCTGTCAGACAAGTGCCAGAAACTTCAAAAATTCGTGGCGGACTCTGCAATGTTTTTGCCTTCTCGTGATATACAAGTCTTACAGGAAACCGTGAAGGCTTTACAGCAGGATATTAATGAGAAGAGGGAGGAATATCTGCCCAAGAAAAAGTTTACTTTCAAGACGAGAAAAAAGGAAACATTTAATAAGGTTAGTAAAAGGGTGGGTAAAGTTTCCGCACAGCCCCGTACTATTGTAAAACAAATCTGTTTTCCCAATGGAAATGTATTGCTTTTTATTGTTCTCTCTAGTCAAGAACTGAATGCATAATGTGGTATGGGGCTGTGCGGAAATTTTACCAAAGGGTGAGTTGGGTGGGGGTCGAAGTGCCTTAATATCATGATAAATCATTATAAAGTTACACAGGTAAGCTCTCAAGGTTCCTTTTACTTAACCTTTTGACCTTAAAGTGTGACCAGTGTCTAATTTCTCCTTACAATATCACCTCTGGAATCACACATAAAGGTCATGAGAATAAAGGAAATGATCACCAACTAAAGAAGCTCTTGGTTGTTGAATCTTTAATCTTAAATACAAATTCCATGTCAATTACACTGAACAAGTCAATTCAATCAATTTGAGGACAGTCTAAAATAGAATACAAGATTCCTTAAAATAAGCCACCTTATTTATATACCTAGTTTAAAAAATCATTGTCAAAGACTAGTTACAAAAGAAAAAAATCCAAACTCACAATATGATAGAAATAAGATAATTCTGATAAAAAAAAATTGGCACTGAACTTATCATAAATTAAAATAATTAAACAATTTCTTGCAAAAGACATGCAAGGTGTTAGACTCCCTAATGTTGTGAGGTAGTTCATTCCATGCGTGACAAACCCGAGTAAAAAATTAATTCTTAAAATTTTCTGTTCAACTGACATCAAGTGTCAAATAATCAACATTTCTCAAAGGCTTGTTACAAGAATGAAACAATACAAAGTAAAAAATATCTAAATCATGTATATTCTGAAAACATTTAAAAAAGAATACTAAATCATTCCCTTTGGTTATGTAAAGGTAATAAATTTAATTTACATAGAGAACAGTAGGCAAAATATGCATCTTGACATTGTAAGGTCTGTGTGATAGTGTCTAGGAGACAAGGTGGCCTGACAGTTATATTTAGCTGTGTTCTGAGGCAAGACAATTTACTCTCACAGGGCTTCTCTCAACCCAGGAGTTTAAATTTACTGGTAAACTCTCAGTGAAACCGGTTTTTTTCGTTCATTAGGGAAGGGGATGGGTTGAACTAGCATCCTATCCAGGAAGGGGGGGGCTAATGATACTAGTTAAAGCTTCATGCATCAGCAACAGGGAGGGGGGGGCCTTGTAATACTCCTAGTTGCTTCATGCAACAATAACCAGGATAAGCTCCGGCCAGATGAGCCACTTAGTTCCATTGCTGACTTAAACCTTTACTCTGGAATAAGGTTATTCCTTGGTACTGCTAAGTGCTTCTTTGACCCTTCACATCCTTACATCAATATGTATATTCTCCATACTGCTCCTTATACTTTTTTTATTGTATTGACAAGGAGAGTTTGTTTGAAAATCATGAGCTTCTTTAGTTTGCAATCATTTCCCATATTCTCATGACTTTAACATTTGATGCAACAGTGATGCTGTAATGAGAAATTAGATCCATATCACTTTCAGGGGTTAAAGGGTTAATGTGCATAATTTTATCCTTATTTTGCATGGTTATGTGAAAAGAGGAAGTTTTCCTTTTTTTGCTTCACCTCACTAGGGAGGTAATTTGTATTCTTCTTCTAAATGAGTCAGGTAACTTAGTCTCCCACTTTTTGATCTGTTTGTCAGGATGGACCTCTCAGTCAAGAGGCAAAGAACAAAGAGCTTCCTTTACCAGCAACAGAAAAGAAGCTTTTAGATTCCTGTCTAGGTTTTCAAGGAGTTGCAGATCAAACACTAACCATGAATCAGTCACAGGTCAAAAATCAAGACATCACTCTAAGAGATCTTCAAAACTGTACTGTAATTATTTATGGTCCACCATCTGCATTGCATATGAACAAACTGACAAGGTGTACAGTCTTATGTGGACCTGTGTCAGGAGCAGTATTCATTGAAGACTGTGCGAAATGCAATTTTGTCTTTCCTTGTCATCAGCTGCGAGTTCATAGCACAACTGACAGCAAGTTTTATCTTCATGTCACTAGTAGAGCTATTGTTGAGGACTGTTCCAATGTAGGTTTTGCTCCTTTTAACTGGG